TATTGAGGTAAATATGAAATTAACAACGAAAAGTAAACAAAGAATCATAAAGAGACACACTTTAAATTGAGCAAATGATGCAGCATGTGCTTCAAGAGCCTGACTTCGCTGTTGATCCACAGAGAAGAGTTGCATGTTTCCTTTAACCAATTGTGGCCTCTATAGACAGCGCAACATACAGAAAATAAAAACAAGATCAGACACAAACAAATTATAGTAAAATAGACAAATTTTATTTTCAAGGACCAACTAGACGTTAGGCTATATCAAGGGTTTTAAATTCAACTCCTCCTCAAAGAGGAATCCTTTGAGCTTGGAGTGTTGACAACACACAAGCCCCTTTTTTCCTTTGAACGCTTGAAATTTAGTTTTTCTTAGAGCAACAAGGGTGGCAAAGATCAAACTCCAGATCACTTAATCAAGGAGGTTCTAATACCATTACAAGAACAAATTGTCCAATAGCTTTCAGTTTATCAATTTTAATATCTTATCAATAGTTGCAAAAATTTACACAGACAAATCCAAAGGAAACAAAAAAAAAGGGCCAAAGGAATATGAAAAAAAAAAAAATCTTAATAAATAAAACAAAAAACATGATACCTATTTACTATCTATGACAGACACTAGATATATACCTCAGGGGAACCTGGAGCAATACCAATCAAGACCAACCATTTTTCAGAAGGGTCACATCGATAATTAATTATTTGATTGTTTGCCAAATTTGCTGTTCTCTCAAACATCTTTACAGGTTCCGAGTCACCTACAAGTTACATGTATCACAGAAATATACCAGTAAAAAAATTGAAGATGAGCAACAATCACACTGAACAACAATGGATAAACTGAAAACATAATAGCAGACAACCAAGTTGTTAAATGGAATTGCAGTTTATCATTGTCTTACCTTCAATTGACCAATGGTATACAGAGGTTTGTGTCACAAGACCCAACAACTTGGGGGTAATCCATTTCCAAAAGACCACCTGCACGTGAAATGAGTGCATTCCACAAGGATTAATAACAACCATCATTTAATAGTGCTTGTATACTTCAACGTAATAGTTACCTGCTCTGGCATCTGATAGGATTTCATCTTTGCTTTCATTTCAATATTAAAGATTTGTAGGTGATCTTGAGTTGTTCCTTGGAGTTGAGCTTCAAGAGAAGGATGCAACTTAGAAGGAAATATAACCCAAAAGTAAATATTAATTAAGATGCAATGCAAACAGATGTTTGTGACATAATCAAATAAAACCTTGAATTTTCTCCCAATAGTTGGAATGCTATGAACATCGAGCCATTTTTACACAGGCTATTTTCTTTTTGGCTAGGGGCATTTTTTCCTTAATATACTACCACTTTCATGGTTGTCAAATGATGGTATCGTGAATAAGATATATAATCAAAATGTTTAATTGGCCTTATGTGAGTTGTGAATGGTCAATACATTATCTGAACAATAAAGCGTGGAAAAAATACTTATTAGGTTCATAGCATTACAACCAATGAAGTCAGTCCATCATCAATAAACCTCACGAGAACAAAGTCAAAGCCCATTGGTAAGTTCCCCCAAATACTCCTATTAGCTTAGCATGTGAGAACTGAGAGAAAAGTACAATAGTTTCTTCTCTCAATATAATTATATCACTTAAGAACATGATCTTTTGACTTCAAGTATCATATTGATAAATAAGAATCAAATAAAGGCCCCTGTTTCACGATAATGAACCCAAATGATCAGAATGCTCAAAGACACACGCACTTGACAGTCTAGTAACTAGAACTAAGGCTTCAGAAGCAAGTAAGAATCACAAAACCTAAATTAGCCTAGACCCTAGTCTATTTCAACTAAATCATAATACAATGCACGACGAGCATATGTTATTCCACTGCTAAACAAGATGAAACTAAGCTATTTGCTTCATACAATGGTGATAACGATTGTTAACGGCAAAAACATACGGAACGTATGCTTCATGTCTCCAAACATGTAATTATATAATGAATAAAAACTCCACATAAATCTCGATATATAACCATGTCATATAAAATTCAACTCAATACTGAAATGCCCCTAGTTAGATTTATCCACGTCATTACTAGCCACAAAACACAAGTAAAGTTCATGAGCAGAATACAACGGACAAGCAGCCAACCTTTCAAAGCAAGGATTCTGGAATTGGGATTCATAAGAGCGGAATCTGCAGTAATAGGCCTCCTCAAAGGCTGATTCGGCATGTTCATATCAATGATAACCACACTATTCTGCGGAGCCGTTTCTCTGACGCATATATACTTATCGGACTCCATCGTCACATGCGTGAACGTGATGAACTGCGGATTTATGCCAATGCTCGGCAACTGCAATCACAAATCACATCACTCTCAATTCACAACACAAACTCACTACAGTTCAGTAAAAAGAAACACAAGAAACATCTAGATCTATGCAAACTCAAACGAAAGAAAATGAAGTAGCGCAGTGAACTTCGTTACACCAACGATCGACCACTTCATTCGGAAAATTAGAATCTAGTAAAACATAAGAGTAACTTGCAAAACTTCGATAGTTATTATGAGTTATAAAGATAGCAGGTGCAGTTATAGTTAAGCTGCGAAGTGGAGTTGCAAATTAAGCTAAGTAAATCGAGAGAAAAGGAAGAGCGCGGAGAACTCACAGTGAGAGCTTCTCTCATGGCGATCGGAGCGTTAGAGGCCGCCATGACGGCGTGGATGGAAGAGCGAGATCTGCGACGGCGATTGAATTGGCAAAGGATGAAGAGTCAAAAGAGTGATCCAAATCGGTGCGAGATCTGGAAGCAAGTTGGACTCTCTAAAGCGAAAAGAGAGAGATCTACGGGGAAGAAATGAAAAAAAGGAGGTTCTGACACTAATAAAGCAGGGTGAGTGAGAATGAGAAGAGAAAGAAACAGAATTGAATTCCTAAGAAAATAAATAAATAAACCATAGAGAAACAGTGCAGAAGTCTCTCCTCTCTTATGAGCTAATAATTCAAATTTGCGAAACTAAATTTGAAAAATAAAATCCTACTTATATTAGATTTACAGCCTACCAAATTTCAAAACTAAATTTGATAATGATTTTGCTTATAACTGTCTCCAAAATAAACATTAAGAAATTAATAAGCAAACAAAAAGATAATAAATAAAATCATAAAAAATGTATCAAAGAACTATGATAACATAAAATATTATACTTTTTATAAAAAAAAAAATCCACTTTAATTTATTATTATTCTTTTTAAAAACATGATTGGCAAAACTGACATGATAACATCTTAGCTTCGATTTTACGGACAGCGGAACAATGTAAGGATCCAACTAATTATTCTCTTTTATTTTTAAATTTTATTTTACATCAAGGGATAGTTCAATTCAACACATAACATATTGATACGGTGACTGTACTATTTTAATGTTTCTAATTGGTAATCTATTGATGTTTAATTAGTGGGTAAATGATAAGAAAGGTTCGTTGTAAATATATAAAAATTAAAGGAGTTAAAAAGAAAACAGACAAAAGGCATCTCAGAGGAATACTACAACTGATTGATATTGATGTTTTTAGCAAACATGATTTTGAATTATAAAAAAAAATTATTATTAATACAATGTAATTAAATCAGGAAAGACAGTGTTTTAAACTTACGTAAAATAAAAATAAAATATTTATTATTATTAAAATTTGTATCTCATATATTAATAATCCTGTTAATATTTGTATAAACAAGTTTGATGTTAATTATTTATCTAATTATAAAGTAATATATATTATAAATATTCTTAAGAGTTTTTATTTATAAAATATTAAAACTAAGTAATAATATAATCTTGGAACTATTTAAATTGAATCTAGTTAACGGCAGGTACTTACTAGATTATTTAACATATTTAACATAAATCTTAGATGAATGCTTCAATCCTATCTCTATCATCAAGTCTTGCTTTGTTTTCTAAGAAAATATTTTTTCAATTAAAAATCTACTATGATTAAAATATAAAACTTATAAAATTAATTCAACATTTTAGAAAATATCTATCTTTACAGAATATAACATTTATAAAATCAATGATGGATAGTATACCCTTTTAAAACATATTATTCTTAAGTAATATTTTCCCTTTTTATATTTTAGTTATGATAATTAAATACTCAAAAAATTGTTTTATAGCCTTTGATCACAACAAAAATATTAAAAAACTATGCTTGATTCAAACATTTTTAAACAGTTGCATAAATATTGTAATGGAAAAAATGCATTAAATGAATTTGTAATTTCCAAAAAAAAATAACATTTAATTGTTATTTATTCTTATTTTTATCATGCCTAATTCATTTAACAGAATTACACATACATATTTCTAAAGTAATAAAAATAACAATCTCAAGAAGCTAAAAGCTGCAATGATGTGCAGTAAAAAGGACTGATAATATTCATGAAATATTTATTAGAGGAACACAAATTTAACATTAAGCACCAAAAATATCTTATTCAGGTTGCTCTTTCAAGATTACTGAGTCCAATATTTCTTGTGTACACATGTACACGTAATAGTTTTTACTTATTTTTCTTCAAATATTTTTTAAAATAATAACTTCATTAAAAGTCATTACAATAACAAACAATTATCAATGTTATTTGCAAACTAAAAGAGCTTGTGAGCAAAATTTGAGGTGGTATAGACTATTTTAATGGTATTACACAGCAAATTCATTGAGAAGCTCTTAACTTACAATCAATTTTCTCAGGTTCGTACGCTGTGCACCGTGCGAAGAATTATAGCAATTAGACCATAGCAAGTAAATAAAAAAGAACTAAAAATAACGCAAATCATTATCAAATGTTTAAACACGAAACACCAGACACTAACAACAAAAAGTTCAACCCACAAAACTGTAAGATGAAAATTTGCATCTAGCTATTAAGATAAATGTATTATGCGCCATAACAAATTCGCCAAATTAAAAAGAATCCCTCAAAAGACGCGGTAAGATTTTCCCATGGTACTCTTCAGATACAAGCACCTCACCTGAAATCAACAAAAATTACATCTGTCGATGATTACCAAGCTCAAATCAACCAGATTGAATGAATATTCTAAGTAGGAAAAACAAAATGCAGGACAGTATTATATATGATCCTCCAAAGTCATCTAAGGATAGTAAACATGTTACTCTCTTTATATTCAAATCTCTTATGCGGACATAATCCTTCAAATTTGTCCCTAGAATTTAGTTAAATAAATTTATATGTGAATTAAATTGACAAGATACTCAATATAGTATAGGTATTATTTACATATAACTTTCTGTAGACCGGTAAGGGAAGTAAGTAATACTGGAAGGACCAAATTAGGTTTAGGCCGGAGACATTAACAGCATTTTTGAGGGCTTATTGTAGAAATCAGGAAGAGACATAAGATGTACAAAATCTACATTACCATACAAATGAATGATAACCATACAAATGAAAACATACGTAGTAACCATGGATTGGATCCCAAGCACATCATATATTGCTACTGAGCATTTTAATTACACCATACATGACTCAAACATGAAAAGCAGAAAACGATTAGAAAACATTATTTAATGAAAAAGAACAATAAAAAAGAATGTACAGAGAAAATGCTTTTACTATTAAGAGAATTTACTACTCACATTTTGCCAGTTCTTTTTCAACAAGGATACCAGGAAGTTAACACTCAGTTGAACGTTTTGGAAAATTTGCTTTTCCTCCATACTGACATTGCCCACGGCTACTCCCATGCAAAGCACCTTCTTAAGTTGAAATTTGACCATAGCCTTAGACTCGTTTACTTTTGATTCAAGAGTTTCCTGGTGAGTAACAAGTGTAGGAAACTTTCCTGCATAGTTTCACAGCATATCAAAAATAAGAAAAAAATTTATCAAACAAGGCAATGCATCATATAAAGGGGAAGGGATCATGTAGAGTGTGAAACAGGAAGAAACACAAGCTAACATAATGCAGTTCATATTTAGAAGCAATAATATACATAACATTTGATAAAAAATTTATAAGACTGTAAAAACTCTCATAATTAAAAACGTTCAATACCCTAAACTAACAAATAAAATTGGAATACATGCCTGCCTTGTTTAGACCAGGACCCAACAGACGTGGAATCTGCTTAATAACTGCTTCAGAAGCTAAAAAGGCATGGTATTTTTTAGCTAGTTTCTTCACCAACTTCTTATTCTTGTTTAGCTTCTTCAAGGCTTCAACATCCATCCAGTCCAATCCTATCTTCTCTGCCTACAGATTGGAGGATAAGAATTAACACGGCAAACTTGGAAACAACTGAACGATAATTATTCAACAAAACTCTTTAGCACGCAACAAACTTAACAACAACTGAACAATGATTTTTCAAAAAAACTATCTAGCAAAATCATGAAATCCACAACCATCAAAGCCACATGGCTAACATTTATCTCTTGGATTGCAGTTATAGAATTACAAAAAACATTGAAATTTTTATAAATCAAATAACATTGTAATTTTTATAAATCAAATAACAACAAACTGCCTCAGAAAAAATCAAAATAAATCAATAAATACATAGCTTTACATTAAAAATTAGTATATAATCCAGGAGCTAACTATTATAGAATACTTAAAAAAGACAATAATAAAATTGATGTATGAAAGTTGCGGTTGGCTACCACACCTAATTAAATACCAACAAAACAGATTGATGAATAAAACAGGTAGATACCTCTTCAACATGTTGAGCATCACCAAGCATGCAAATTTTCATCTTGGGGCGAGGGATGTGGGGCAACTTGACAGAACCGCTAAAACGCTTATCTTTCTGTGGATCATAATTTTTCAGACCAATCTGGAGTTCAATGGTCTCCACGAATTTCCGATTCTTCTCCTTGGAATCGGCCATAATTCCAGTGATAGCTTCTCGCAAGGCATCACTCTGAAGCTTACTACAACAGCATCCAAAAACAAATCAGAAACAACATGCACACAATATAGTAAACCTTGTTCGCCGATGAATAAAGGTGAGGGATATTGTACACATAACAAACAGGTATAAAAACACTGAACAAAAGCAAATGAAGGAAGAAAATATAAGCACCTCATCTTCTCGAATCAGCGTTCAAAGATCTCACAGAGCTGTGAAGAAAGAATGACAGAACAAAAATGGTTTATCTGGCGGAGCGGAATGAGGAGAGACAAAACCAAATGGCAAAGGGTCAGAGTAGAGAAGTTACCTGAAGCCGAAAACCCTAACTAGGTCATGCGGCTGAAAGAATTAGTATATACTATGGACCGGAGGAAATGGGTGGGCCGGGCCAGGCCAGGTATCCAAATAACTCAAACGGGCTTTGCACAACTAAGTCTTTGTTGATTTGCCCTTATGTTTTTCTTTTTTAGTCCAAAAATGTTCTTTTATTTTAATAGTTGAGAAAAATTATGTGTGCTTACGAAATATAAAATTTATGTTATTTTAATAACAAATTAAATGAATAAATAATTATTGTTCAAATCAATTTTTTAATTTTCTTAAAATAATTAGTTTGATCTAAATATAATAAACAATAAATTATAAAAAATCATATCAACACGTATATCGCTTTATATTTTTTTTGGACTAATTTACCACTCCATTCAAAAGAAAAAAAAAATCGAAGGCAACGCCACATTTACTATTCCTTTCGTCATAACCCAAACTGAAATTTTTATGCTATTTTATTCACAAACATATATTAGTTTTAATAATCAAGGTGATTACAATTACATGTAATATTATTAAGTTAATCAATAATTACGATCGATATTTATATATGAATTAAAATAAGCAATAATATTAGTTTTTTATAAATAAAATAAATCATAAAACCAATGTAAATAATATAAGAAGAACAATGTCCCATACTAGACAGGAGAAAAATAAAATATTGATTAGTCTCAATGTGACAAATGTATCCATAAGTTTGATGTTGAGATCTATACAAGTTTAAAAAGTCATACATCCAACATTTTAATTAATCCTGATAATTTCACACATATGTTAAGTTTGACATAAAAAAGTTAAAAGTCAACATATTATGTCGGAGTTTATTTGTGATTATATTTTTCAATAATATATATATATATATATATATATAATTGCAATTATAATTTTCATATAAACAAAATGTTGTAGTTAAAATTATTCAAATATTTTTTTCTTATATGTATAATTTTTTAATGATATGGAAATAAAGAATAACTAGCTTTATATTCAGCTTTTGTTTTGTTTGATAAGTGAATTTAAGAGAATAAAAAAAATAAAAAAAGAATTATTTGAATTGAGAAAAAGAGAATGAAAAATAAAGAATAAAAAATTATAATTAATAAAATTAATTTAATTAATTAAGAATAAATAAAAGTAATGAATGATTGAAATATTTTAAATAAAAATTTTAAATAATTTATAATTAATATTAACTGTACAAATGATTTTAAAAAATATTGCGATATAATTACGATATAATTAATATTAATATATTTTTTAAAATTATCTCTGATAAAAAATTTAAACAATAAAGTTAGTCATCAGTTGTAATTCTTAAATATATTATTATAATATAATAACATAGTTGAAATTCCTCATTATTTACAAATATAATTAAATTATAGTATATTATAGTTTATTTAACTATAATCAAATTGTATTATTTATTATTGGACCCCTGAAATCTTTAATGTGGGAGAATAAACTTGTTTTGAATGTAAGAAGTATCTTAAAAATTGAACCTAAATTTTAATTAAACGAATATAAGTATTTTACATAAAGATATAATTATTTATTTATAATAATTTAAAAATTAGGCTTATTGGCAGATTATAGTTAAACTTGTAAGTAATATTTAATTAATCTAAATTACTCATATTAAACAGATAATATATCATATTGAACTACAAAATAGAAGTTTAGTCCCTTAGTTTAAAAATAAATAAAAAACTAAAGGTGTGAAAATACTAATTTTTTCATAATCAATATACATAATATACTATTAATAGAAAAAGATAGAAAAAAAAACTCTCATATGTAGATTTTACAACAATTTTTTTTTTTACTTCTTAGTGACTTAATTTGTGATGGACCGAACCGGATTGGTGTTTTTAGGTCTGCTAAAAAAAGTGAACTACCAAAAACCAAGTTAGATTGATTCAGTTTTAACAATTAGAAATGAAAAGTTATGTTGTTTTGTTAAAATATGTTTCAGGCTTTCTTGATTATATTTCTCTTACTTTAATTAAATTTAATTTATTTACATGTGTAATTTAATAGAGGTAGTTGTCTTTTATGAATATTTGTTTATTGTGTATATTCTAGTTATTAATATATTCTCTAACCTTTGAAGTTTGTTTTTATTGGGAATATTGTTTAGAATCGAAAAAGTTACGATGTAAATTTGAAGAAATTAGTATAATAATGTTTTAAATTGATTAACAATCCCAAATTTGAAAACCTTAAAAATATGTAATACTAAATTAAAAAAAAAAATTTAACACGAATATAATCATTACAGAGTACATCATATTCCTCAATCAGAATTTATAACCCTGGATTAGCAAAGATGTAATCCTAATAAATATAAATATCGATATACATTTATTTTTATTTTTTTATTTTCTCTTCTTATATTTTTATTAATATTTACTATAATATTAAAACATTATTTATTATTAATACAAAATTTTGACATTACGGCACGAGTGAAAATAGTAGTTTATTTATATATGTAATTTAAATAAAGGTAGTTATATTTTAGAAATATTTGTTTATTTATTTGTCCTTTTATTCTAATACAAGATTATATGTTAGTTATTAATATTTTTTTACATTATATACGTTTTGAGATCATGCAAAACTACTCATAAAATAAAGTTCAAAATAGGAAATGGACTATACAAAAGTAACAATTACTCGTCTTTTAGGTCCAAAATAAACTTTTATTTCATGTTTGCCTTTTTTTTTGGGTTCAAAATCAGTTTATCGTTTATCATACAATTTTTTTTACTCATAAACAATAGCACATGCCAAATATTAAATTAATTCATTTTTTAGTATTATTATCAAATGTGAATTATGTCATAGAAAACTAAATAATTAATTAAATTTAACTTTTACATGCATTAACTTTAGAATGTTTTCATACTATATTGTTTGCGTTATCCAGAATCCATTATGAGCATGACTTGGGTAAATATTTAAAGAATTTATTCATTGAGATTTAAAAATATTTTTGGAGTTTTTTTAATAAAAAAGTTTTGTAATAGTAAGTAAAAATATTTAAATATTAAAAAAACATTTGAATGGTATTATTTTATTAAAATTAATATCCATATTAGAGATAATAAAATATAATCATATTTAAATAAGATGGCAAAAGATTTGTTAATTAATTTAATTCAATAAAACTAAGTTAGATGATGATCATAATCATATATATATATATATATATATATATATATATATATATAATATTATATTATATTGCTTTTAAATTACATCCAATCACCTCAAAAGATATTTTATTTATATTAAAAAAATTATATTATACTCAAAATCATACAGATTTCAGTACATTATTTTATTGATCGAAATTTTGCAGGTATCTTGTAACTTTTTGTCATATATGTTAATATTACTCTCATAAAATAATTCGACTTATATATGTGAAGTTTTCCACTTTCTTGTTTAAATTTTTTCCAATTTTAATAGTGACAATAATAGAGTTATCTTTTCCAATTTTATTTTATTTTTATATTCAAGAAAATATTTTTACGTTATTGCTTTCTACGATCTAATAATAATAATAATAATAATAATAATAATAATAATAATAATAAATGGAAACATTTGAGTGATTTACATAAAAAATAATTATTTGAGTAGATTTTCTTCCAATTTTATCCTCGCATGATACAATAATATGCAAACATTGGATCGTAAAATAAATGGAAACATTTACATAAAAAACATTGATTTACAAGAGTCCAATCACGTACAATGTATAGTTGTTTTATTTTCTCTTCAAGGATTCATTGTCCAATTGGTTTGTTTGGTGTGCTTCAAACCCCAGCCAAATTGGCTCAACAAAGAAACACAAAGAGGAAATAAAAGGGGTAAAACTGAAAAGCAAGGCCAAGTCCTAGATCTCAAAGTATCAATCTACAAGTATAGAAAGCTAAGAGAAATGTCTCAAGAAATTTACAACTTACAAGAACATTGAGACAAAGCTAAAAAAAGCCGAGACATGAAGCAAAAAGAAGAAGCGCTCTGAAGTAAAAAGGAAAAAAAATTATAACAATTCTGTGAAGAGAAAAATGAGGAAGTGAGAAAAAGTGATTTGTAAGGATATTTTTAGTTTGTTGTTGGTTAAGATTGAGAGATGATACGTGTGTAAAGGAATTCGTTCCATGTGTCAGGTAAGCCAGGTAGACACCAATGGATACAATCTGCATAAGTAGCAGGATCAGCTTGTTGTTCTGGAGTCAACATCTTTCCTTGGCGAATGGTGTAAACAGAGGTGTGTGCATCTTTTCTGAACTCTGACAAGGTTGTGATGTTAAGGAACTTCACTGGCACCACCTTCATTGACTGTGTCACATTGTTGGCTACCACAAAAAGCCTTCTATCCGTGCCAATCTGTAATGTGTTGGACATACTGAGAATTGGAGTGGTCTCCTTAGCACATTTTATACCATCTGGATTGTTCCAAGCCTCACTCCTACAAAGTCATACATGGGGATATTATAGAATGCTTGAATTGGTAATCCATAATTTTTTTGGTGTAAAGAAATATTATACAACAGAATATCAATACCAAGACTCAGTTAATGCTTAGTTATAAGATAGTAAGTAACACATTAAAAATATTGACAGAGGCTCACCTCAATAGATTTTATCATTATGAAATATAAACTTTTGCAACCATAAAACCATGGAAGTAGTGGGTCACCAACCTAACTACCAAAGATCTCACGTGAAAACACCAACTATGTTATTTAATTAGATCACAGAGAGGATGGCTTCACCTAATGACAAAAAAAAGAAATATATATAGTATTTGAGGATTAAACAATGCTAGCTCTAGGAGGATTGTTGAGGATTTGTTATAGTTGTTCAGCTATTTAAAATTGAGACAAATTTGATAACTCAATAGCAGAGCCAAAAATAGTGGCTATATGCAACTTAGTTTGGGAATAACTTTTTCTTCTTAAACAAAAGAAAAGGAATTAAGGTTTGAGCATTACTTAATATGAAGAGGGGACATGCTGGAGAAGAAAACTTTGGTGCTGTTTGGATCAATGTTGTCTTCCACCCATTTGGACCACGTGGTGAGGACTCTCGCATATGCTATTGGGCGAGGGACTTCGTCGTACTCCGTGGATCCTTCATCAAACGACCCTCGTCTTTTGCATACATACACATCACCCACAAACAGGAGCACTTTTTATTTTGCTTCAAAAACAATTATATATGATCGAATAAAGAATTGGACAAGAGTGAATAACTATATGTCGTGCTTACAAGACTTTCATAGCGGCAGTATTCATCCACCATATGTAAGTGTTAAAGATAAGATAGTCCACATTCTTCCAATTCACAGCATGCTTTTCAATGGATTCAGGCATGATGATACGGTTCAATATGCTGTGCAAGTTTGGATCGTCCGAGTTTGACTCTACAAGGAACGGTGCCCAGTAAAACTCAATCGTAGCATTGAAATCCTGCAGACACACGAAAGCTATATCATATGATATCTTATGCCACCACACAACATGTATGTATGGACTTCCTTAACTACCGGCGTGATTGCCACAATATTCCAAAGCCAAAATAATTTATAAAGTGGCCAAATAATTAATTCAATGGTGGTTCATGATTGATGAAAAATATGATCGTCGTGGCAGTTTAGTCAATAACTTTAGTCTCTGTAAGAGTTAATCAAGAGGAGCACTTTAGTAGCCTATCATTATGGCCCTAATTAATCATTATGTCAAACTATGCCAGCCATATCTCTCCCACTTTTTTCCCTTTTCTTTATCATATTCAAAACCATATAGTTGACACAGTCTTCAGCAGAGAATTAGGAAAAATAAAAATAAAAATAAGGAAAAGCACAAACCTCAATTGTGAAGATTGAAAGAGAACCAGTCTTGCTCAAGCTCTTTTTGCCTTGTGGAACAGCAGACTGGACCAAACAAATCATTGATTCCCATTGGTTCCTATTCAATGAGTCTCCGACAAACATAAGCCTCTTCCCTCTAAGCTTCTCAAGCAAAAGTCTTGGTTTGAACCTTGAGACGTTCATACGAATTTAATCAATAGATAACATTATTAACAAAGCACTTTATTAAAGCAAAGAGAAATAAGAAAAGAGAAAGTTAAAAAACTGAAGTGTGTAATACTTGGGCAAGGAGCAATCTCTGGGCTGCCATCTCCAATTCTGATAGAGAGAATCACGTCTTCCATTTCTCATGCAAGTGACTTGTGAAGTGAGGAATTCGCATTGGTCTTCTTTGTACAAAGGATGTGTCACGTTGTCAAGAACCCATTCCCCAGTAAACAAGTCACACTCTTCTGGAGGCAACACCACATCTTCTTTTTCTTCGTCATACTCTTCCATCATCTTGTCTTCTTTCTCCTCTACCACAACAGCTTTCAAATCAATCGGTTCTTGAGTTTCCTCAGAGTCCTCGACCTGGCGTTTCTCAAGTTGAGTTCTTGAGTTCGTGGAAACCGATTCTTCTTGTTCTGGTTGAACTTCTTGGATATCTTGAGCCTTAGGCCTCAAGAACGTGAACTCGGCCATTGACTTCACGTCTTCGTTGTACATGAAAACCCCAAAGAGGAATATGGAGAACACCACCACGAAAATGGAGATGCTAATGCTGTTGTTCCTTTTGCCTTTCATTGTTGTTGTGGTTTCTGAGATAGGAGGATTATTCTTGCGGCGAGGGGGCTGCATGGAAGAGAGAAAGATTGAACAAGAGAAGGCTTTAGTTTGAGGGTGTGGAGGGAAGGGGGAGAGAGGGAGGGAAATATAGAAACAGAAATGGACAACATTGAGATAGAGGAAATTTTTGGAATAAATAATTTAGTAGCAGGTTGTGTTTGTTTAATTGGGGTGGGTGGAAGGGTGTTATCTTTGAAGAAACTGGGACAGAAAAGGGTGTTGTATCGGTGAAGCGAAGGAGGGTTGTCTTTCTCACGTTATCAAGTTCTTTGTTTTGTGAATTTTTAAATTTCTATAATCCATTTGCAACCACTTTGAACCTCTCTCTCTCTCTTTCCCTCCTTTTCAGACAATACTTGAGAGAAAGAGAGGAGTGATCTCAAAGCCTTCAGGGTTGGTCCGAGTCCGAATCAGTTGAATGAAAAGGGTGCTGGTGTGGTAGAGTTCAGGCTCTTTGGTAGACACCATGTTCTTGTCTTCCGAGTTTCAGATTGCAAGGTTCTGCTTTTTTTTTTTTTTATCACTGATGGTAAGAGACTGATCCTTCTTTTTCTTGGTAGAGGGTTGGGTTATGTGTTAACCCCACAAGAGAGTCTAGAATCTATTAAGTCAAAGGTTAAATAATTAAATATAAAGTTAAATATTTTTAATTATGATAATGTTCGTTTTAAATAAGATCCTAATGAGATTAATTTTTTATCCATTTAACTAAAAAAACATGATAAGACAAAATAAACAATTTTTTTCTCATTAATGAAAATATATCAAATTTGTTTTTTTGTCTTATATATTGAGAGGTTTTTATAAATGAAGATAATCTTATTAGGTTTAAAAGATACTACAAATGGTTTTTTCACGTAATTTATTTCACAATATTTTTTAGAATTTTAAGAAAAAATTGAAAGAGATAAAAATGAAACAAAAATATTAATAGGATACGAAAATTATATTATTCGTACATGGTTGAATATCTACTTTCCGGATTATTTTGACTTAAGTCTGTCCGATACATATTATATATGAGAATATGTGTTAAGTATAATATTACTCATAAATTATTTGTAAAAATTAGTTTTTTTTTTTAAAGAGAACTCTCTTATTTATAATTTTTTTTTTGTAAATCCTAAAAATGATTTTAACAGGGATAGAGAAGTTAAAAATGTTTTTCTTAGGCATGGTAAGAAAAATTATAAAAATTAAATTTTTAAACGGACAAAATTCAATAAAATTTAATATTTTAAAATTGGAGTCTTATACTCTGAATATTAAATTATTATAATTTTTTTATAATAATTTATAAATAAATTATATTTATATACAAATAAATATATATTTATATAAATATAAATATATTTATATATTTTAAATATTTAACAGGGAATATCCGTCCATAATTTTTATCTTAATCATTTTTCAACCTCCACATATTCATCGGTATTCTCAGTTTCCATCCAAAAACCCCAAGTAAGGCAGAAACATTTGGATCGATTAGCTCAAACTCACCCCTCATCGTGATCGTGGATATTTCATCTTTCTAGTTGGTGTTCAACTGCATAAGCCTCTTCTCTTCCGTTATCAGTAGGAAATAAAGCTTCTTTGTAAACTACAGTACTATCGCTGTTTAGTCATTCAACTAGTTGTGTTTGAAATAACATGAACCTAACCTAAATCACAATCGTCAAAGCTAATTAATTGCTAATACTTTTTCTAAAGGAAATCTTCAAATTATTACTATCTTTATATTGGAGAAAAGTAAAAGCTAAGGAATCCTTTGTGATATTTTAAGGTTAATGAGTACACCAACCAATTGTTTATTGTTATGTACTTGCCAACTTCACTTCCATTGGGTGTTGGTTTGATGGTAGGGACATGCCTTTTATTCCAAGTCAAGTATGCAAGAAAAGCGACGAAAGTGGTAAGCTTCAAGAAAAAATGTAGGGGTATGTAAGTGTGAATTCATTTTACTTTCAAAGGCAAACTGCTCAAAACATCAAAGTCAGGTTCTCCTCAGTGCTCCCAAAATCTCCCTCAACCTTCATTATAACTCATTCAATCACATTTCACCACCTGATCCACTTTCAGATGTGTACATCATAGCAGCTAGGTGGCAACTGTACAGTGTAAAAGCCGAAACAAGGTTGATAAAAAATGTAAAAGGAATAACAACCCCCTATAATTTATCGAAAATATATAACCCAATCTTATCTAACAGAAACATAAACAAGGCGATAGGCACGGAAAAGGACATCTTAGAATTAAATTAATGGTGTCCAATTGTGAAAGGTTGTGTATCAGATATTGCCATAGATGAGCAACAACTCGTGTCCCATTTTCTCTGGTTGTTGTTTTCAAATGCAGATGCTTTGCTTTCTGTTTGAAGTAGGTCTATCTTTTTCGGTACAGAAGGAAAAGAAACAAGAAAAACCAAAGTAAGGTCCTACTTCTCTTCATGCATGTTTCCAGCCTTATATATGAGCATCAATTTGTATGCCCTACTCACATCGTCTGCAGTTTGATGTAGTTCAACTACTCATGAATCAATCATTGCAGTGAGATAATTCAATAGCTTCTAAAATAACCTTTTATGTACCTAATAAGAATCAACAGTATGTAGTTTTTTCTTTATTTCCAAAGAACCAAATTTTTGTTGCGTAAATATTTAAGACAGTGTTAGCAAACCAAATTTCATTCAATACCTTCTCACTTTTCTTATTTGAGAAATAAAAAGAATAACATGCTTTCAGTAATCTTAATTTAAAAATTTCAAAAAATTATTTGCAAATAATATTACTGTTTTAGTCGGTTAAGATTTCAGAGCGAGTAGGTTCCTAGATTTGGCATTTTAAATGCCCTAGACATGTGCAATGAGTTTGTTTAGTTGCATATATGAGTCTTCATATTGTTCAACTCTAAACAAAACAGATAATTTTAGTACTGCGCTGAATTAGAACGTTACTTTAAACAAGAGTAGAACTGCAATAAGGTTGTATGTAACAAAAAGAAAAAGAAATATGACAACAACCGAAACCATTTTTATAAGGAAAAGTGTAGATAATAAAGGAAAAGCAACTTCTATTTATTCGAATTCGTATTAATTAAATAAAGATTGTATCTATTTATTCTAACCCGGCATTACAATATTCTCCTGTCTAGAAAACAGTTCCCAATTAAGAAATTAAGGGACAATTAGATTTGGAAACAAATTTGCATCAAGACATCATGAGGATATTTTCAAATTTCTTAACTCAAAATAGTCTAGTAAAGGAATACTGAAAAGAATGCATTGTATTCATGAAAGAAGCTATTCTTGATGATCCTTATCATCTGATGCACAAAGGCCACTTCTCAGGATTGACCCCTCATTCTAAGAGCTAACAGTACTTGCTTTTAATTTTTGGTAGTTTTAACTGGGCCCAATTGAATGCTTTTCCACTGCAAGATTATCTGACAAGGAGATGGACATTAAGCTATTTAAGATGCAAGGGTTTACCTCCTACCCTTTGTTTTGCACAATCTACTAGAACCCAACCAACTAGAGCACACTCTTCATCAGAAATTGTGTTTAAAAGTTTTCATCCTCATTTGCATGGAGCATATATATTACACGATTTTCCTGAATTAAAGATGAAAAAGCTAACCGAGAACCATGTCCATGAAGCTGCAATGTCCAAATATTATGAAATTTAGCATTTAATTGTCATGGAACCTATATTAACCTTAGGCCAAATACTACCGGCACAAATTCAAGGTTTGCTGCATCAGAATCTGTTACAGTTTTTTCTGGATCTTCATCAAATACATCCACAGGCTCTGTCCATTATCGCTTGCAACTTTCGCAATCTGCAGAGTAACAGAAAGTGAAACAGAACGTTGAGTTAGGCACAAGATCATTCCAATAAAATCTGCGCTGCCACTGCTGCTTCTTCATCTGATGTAATGCCACACATCTTAACCAAAGGTTGACTCTTTCCAAGGTCCTTTGATTCCCACGCTGGTATGTTTGCAGCAAAGTTGTGCTTAAGATAGAATCTTACACTCGACCGTTCACATTTCAGAAGAAATAAACATACACACCAAGTGTCATCTATCATAAAATAGCAGAGAAAGAAGAATAACGAACTCGTATTTGAAATTTGGGGTTCCCCACAGCGCCTAATCGAAGACTAATATTGCAGTTAGATAAATAGATCAAATAGATACCTGAACATCACCAAACATGCAAATTTTAATCTTTAGGCAAGGGATGTGGGGCAACTTGACAGAGCCACTAGATAGGGTTTTTCAACCCAATTTGGAGTTCAATGGCCACTTTTGGAACCGGCCATTATTCCTGACATCGCTTCTCGCAAAGCATCACTCTAAAACTAATCGATACAATCTGCAAAAGTAGCGGGGTCAGCTTGTGCTCTGGAGTATCACATCTTGCCTTGTTTTTAGTAGATACCACTTATATATAAAGGTTGCTTAATAATAACTAAGCAAATAAGACCTTGGGAGTGAACTTCAAATTTTATAAGTATTAAGGTTACTAGATTTGACGTGGCAACAAAGCACACACTAATTATAATGTCACTGGCTAAGAAAAAATGTCCTCCAAAGCCCCCTGAAACAAAGAAGCACCAGAGCAATCACCTTGAGGTTATTCTTGAGAAGAAAAAGACCGAACTTAAATGTAACGAATTATGAGAGGTTTGAGCAATGCATTTCCAATAAATTTCAACCAATGGTAGAGGATGTATTGCTATTATTTCTAATGAATTATTAACTATTACTGTTTTCATCATCCATCACACTAGTGTGATTCAGTCAAGTAATTATTGACATCTCATTTTGTGATCACTTACACAAGTTTTTCATTCTCCATTAGAAGATGAAAACAAAGTACCAGGTTGCATCAAGATACTGTTGGAGTTTCTTTTCCCGCCAATCAGTTTTTATTGTGATAATGTCTAGATCGAGAAAGCTTGTCAAGGAAAGAGGGTTTGATCATTGTTTTTCAGTTGCAGGTAGTGACCAGCTTGCAGCAGAAAACAGAAATCGTAAGGATTTTGACAAAGCTGCAAATTAAGTAGCCAAAGATCAGTTAGCATATATGAAATCTCGATGACAATTTCCAATTGGAAGTGCAAAGTTGGTGCAATCTGCAATCTACCTTTGCAGGTAGAAATCAAAATGTAAAGACATTTTGTGTTTGTTTAGTAGCACCTGAGTCTTCTTACTGTTCAAATCTTTCAAGACAAAAACATTTTAAGTACCGCATGAATTTAGTAACTTTAAAACAAGTGTAGAACCGTGAGGGGTTGTTTGTATGAAAAAAATAAGCAGGAAATATATGACAAAACTCAAAACCATTATTTTAAGAAAAAAGTATACATACTAAAGGAAAAGTAACTTATTTCATTCGAATTTGTATTAATTTAATATTGTGCCAGCTTATTGTCGTGCCTACAAAAACGCTCCCAACTAAAAACCTCGGGGATACAATTGGAATTGGAAACAAATTTGTAACAAGATATCATGAAGATATTCCCAAATCACAATATTTCTTTTCTTGAGACTCATAATAAGTTGGTAAATCAACACTGAAAAGAATGCACTGCATTCATGAAAGAGGCTATTCTTGATTGATCTTTACGGATGCCATCTGATGCACATATGCCACTGCTGACATCCACCCCTTCAGGCTTGAGAGTTGATAGAGCCTTAGAAACATTCTCAGGATTGATCCCACCGGCTAAGAGCCAACCGTACTTGCTTTTAATTTTTGGTAGTTTTAGCTGGGCCCAATCGAATGCTTTACCACTGCAAAGATGCCTTATGAGTTCTACGAATATTAAGATGCAAGGGGAAAGGAAAATTATCCAACAAGTAGATGGACAATAGGCTATACAAGATGTATGCCTTTACCTGCCACCCTGTGCACTATCAACAAGAACCCAATCAACTAGAGAACACTCTTCCTCAGAAAGAGTGTTTGAAAGATTTCCATCGTCATTTGCATGGAGAACATATATTACACGATTTTCCTGAATTAAAAATGGGAAAGCTAACCGAGAAGCATGTCCATGAAGCTGCATTGTCCAAATTTTATGTAATTAAGCATTTAATTGTCTTAGATCGTACATTAACCTTGGGCAAAAAAAGTACCTGTACAAATTCAAGGTTTGCCGTATCAGAAGCTCTTAGAATTGTTTCTGAATCATCATCGACAAATACACCCACAGGTTCTGCTCCATAATCTCTTGCAACTTTTGATATCTCCTTTGCAACCGATAGTGAAACAGAACGTTTTGAGTTAGGCCAGATGATCATTCCAATTAAATCTGCACCAGCTTCAGCTGCCACTGCAGCATCCTTAGCCGACGTAATGCCACACATCTTAACCAAAGGTTGACTCTTTCCAAGCTCCTTTGATGAGCATGAATCATTTGCATCAGTAAGCTTGCAGGAAACTTGATGCTTAAGAAAGAACCTTACACTCGAAAACTCCACCTTCTCTCTTAAACCTACGGGAATCATTTTAAAACATTTGAATATTGACTCATTTATGAATTATGACCTAGTCACCAAACATGGTCAATGCAAGCAAAGGCATGAAATCAAGTCCGCTTGAGGATAAATGCTACTTTGGTTTCTATAAATCTTGTGATATACCAAAAAGATGGACAAAGAATTGGCCTACCAGAAATTGGTCTTTTGTGGAAATTTACAGCTCTGAGTTGGAAGTAACTCCCAACGGTTGAACCTGTAAAAAAAAGAACATCAAATCTTGCAAGGTCAGCAGATTTTATTTTGATTTTTAAAATGCAGGGTTTGACATAAGTAGATGGAACCTTCTTCGTCACTGATGATAACATGAAAATGCTAAATAGATATACGCTTCGAGACAAATAATAGTGAATTATCACCAAATCAGTTCAGGTAGGAATTTCATCAAACATCTGGGATGCAAGTGTATCAGGTAACAACCAGGGTGCCAAGGATTACACAATGCTCGGGGAGGATTGCAAGATGGCTAACACCAGACCATTTAGTTCCGCCATTGGGGTTTGTTAGTGGTTCAGCCATTTACAAATAATAGAATTTTGATAACCAAATAGCAGATCCAATAAAAATGGTATGCGCAACTCAGGTTGGGAACAGCAAAGTGAAATAATCCATGAAAAGGCAAGGAAAAAAAAAAAAAGTGCTGAAACATTATACACTTATTGGTATTACAAAAAAGGAATCGTAGTTTGCGGAATCCTTGTAACAAAAACATGAAATCGGTAAAACGAGAAACCTGAAAGCATGTTGACACTTCGGAACAGTGTTAAACCGTCGCTCTGAAAACCTACGACGGGATTTGGAGAGCGGGTACTAAACTCAATAACTTTTTTTTTTTTTCAGTTAAAAATGTTTTATTTTCGTTTTATATTGAAAATTATTACTTTCTTAACCTTTTATTTACTTTCAATCACTTTTTTATTTTTATTTTTGCAACATATTTTAGTATTTTTATTTTAAACTACCGACTGTTAAAAATAATTTTCTAACACCATATAAATTATTTATCATAAATTCAAAATATAATTTATATAATTTTAATTATTACATAATTAATATTTTAATAACACTTATTATTATAAATTATAATTATATTAAATGAATATTTGTGTTGTGGATTCCAAATTTACATATTCTAAAATAGTGATTACAAATGAAAATAATTTAAAAGAAAACTAATATCAATTTCATCTAAGTTTAAACTCTAATAAAATCGGTGAAATTTCTACACAATGATGAATTACTATTTATAAGAATATTTAAACTTAATAATAAAATTGAAACAAAAAATTACAATAAATAGCAGTGGAAGGAAAAAAAATAGAAAATATGTAACGTATTACTAGTTATTGAAAAATTGAAAAAAAAATTGTAAAGCAAATACATGTTCTCTAAACTAACCATTTATGTATCATTGCTTTGAAAAAAGTTAAACAATTTAAGAAAGAGTATCAGAAAGAAAAAAGTATTATTAAAGTGTATGTGTTTTGCTTATTTGAAACAAGCAATGTGTGTTTTATCAATTTACATTTTGTCGTTTGCTTCTGATTTATTCTAACGATGTGAGTTAGGGTTTTGAGGGATGCAAAATTGATGAGAAAACATTAATCACAAATCACACAATAACCAATTCATTTGTAAAATTTTAACAGCTTTCTAATTAAAAAAAGTTGCATGAGAAAAAGAAACGTGAACATTAAACAATTGAGAAAAGAACAGGGTTCCACCGAATTCTTTGGCACAACTAAAATCCTACACCACCAAATCAACACGACAACTCTTTGTGCCAACCTATTTTTCTCTTATGGTATTAATCAATTTTTTTTAATATATATGGTATAAAAACGAATTTGTTATTGTATTTCTACAGAGGTTCTTAATTAACACTCTTTTTCTTTAATCAATCAAGATAATTTTTCAAACTAAAAAGAAGTTATAAATTTAACCACAAACTATTAAACTAGCTTTAAATTATTTGTTGAAATAATGGATAAATATTAAACAATGAAAATAAATATTTCAATTTATTTTTTTATGGAAAAAATATACTTTAGATCATTATAAGTTTAGTTTTTATTTAATTAATTTTAAAATATTATATTTTTATAAAGATAATTTATTTTAACTATTTTTTAGTTTCAACCATTATATATTCTTTACATTGTGTATTTTAATATTAATATTATTACATTTAAAATATCTTAAACTAAGTCTAAATGTTGCTAACATTCTCTTTTATCCTCTCTAATCATTTTTTTTAATTATTTAACGAGTCTTCCTTCTAGTTTTGAAGTGAAACTTAAAAAAAAAGTAATTTTAATAAGTTTTAATCAGCGGTAAAAAAATTACATGAAAGAAAATGTCAAATAAAATGTAAATATTGCTAATTTGCTATGTGTAAATAAAAATACAATAAAGTATATCAACGTCGTGTTGTAGACATGGCAGTTATCATTAACGTAAAAAAAAATTAAATTAATTTTAATAAATAAATCATACTTATTTTAGAATAATTCTCCATAATTTAATTTATTTATATATAATTAGATAATATATATATATATATATATATATATATATATATATATATATATATATAAAGTTATAATAAAAAAAGTAAATAAGATCCACTAATAAAAATATATAATTGAAATACATAATTGAATCTAAAGAATACACATCCATTAGATTATGTTAAATAAGAGCTTTGATTCATAATTTTAGTATACTTAAAATATATTTGTATTTGGTGGTCCTTAGACTAAATTATATTGGTAGGTGACAGTCGATAAATGAATTATTGATAATTTATCTTTGTAATAGTGTATTAACTTGTAATATTATAGTAATCTTATTTTATGATTAGGAAAATCATAATAATATTGGTAATACGAGAGTATTCAATGTAATATAATTTCAACACAAATTATAATTTTTGAGGTTTTAAGCATAATACAAGTCTTCCTAACCATGATATAATATAATAAAATATAAATATGTAATATTACATAATTGGATAAATAATTATTATTTAAATAAGAATTTTTTTTATCTATATAACTTAATTACTATTATCATGATTACACATAAATATGCTATATTAAAGATAAAAAATTATATTTGAACCATAAAGTTAATTTAGGATACAAGCATAATAAAAATTTTGTAGTTATACTTATTATTTTGTGATATAATATCTTATTAATAAATATTATTTTTATATTAAATATTTCTTAAACATAATATATTTCTTTTCGCATACAATCAATATAACTTATTCCTCAGTCAGATATACATAGTAATGATTTGTAAAGTTATTATAATATAATATCACATTCCCATCAAGTGAGATAGTAATAATAATTAATATAAAAGAGGTAAAATAAAAGAAGTAATTTTAATAAATAATTATACTTATTTTTATATTAACTCTTTAAAATTTAATTATTTATAACATATGATTATATAAATTAATTAAGATATAATTTAATTATATAATCTATTATACAAAAAATATTTAAATACCACATAGATAAACACTATAATTATTTGAATTTGAAGAACTTTTGATTTTGAATATAATATCATAAAAAAATTAATGTTTGATTTTTAAATTTTATCAATAATAAGGTGATGTCATGAACGAGGAGGGAGCTGACGAGGTCCAAAGATGGAGAGGCATGTCCTAACCTAAATTATTTGCTGTTAGCTCCTAATTTGATCACCCATTCTCCTAATATAAATTATTTTATCTATTCTAAAACATTTAATATTTTAAGATTTTTCATTGAGTGTCTTATTTCAAGATCAAGCTCCTATAAAAGAAACATTATTAACATTATTTTTTTTTGATAATTTTGGATGATTTATGTGTAAGTATTTTCAAGAGAACAAATTAAAAAAAAAACTAGAATATGCATAAACTAATTTTAGAATATTTTTTCTAATTTTTATTTTTTTACTTGCACATATATAACTTTATCTTATAAAAAATTTAATTACATGTTTTTTCTAAAAGTATTTATGCATTGAATAGTGTTTTAATATTTTGATTACTAATTAAATTTTATTAAAACTTATAATGCTACTACTAAATATTTATTAAATAAAATTTTATAATTTATAATGAATAAGTATAACTAATTATTCTGTTCTCCTACATGTTAATTTTAATTTAAAAACTCTATGATGTGTATTTATAAACAACTTTTACATCTTTATTTTATGTGGAATTTGACATTATTAAAAAACTAATGAGGAAGATATCAAGATAAAGATTTACTTATATAAATACTTTTAGATATAAAAAATAGCATAAATATAAAGAAAAAAAAATTAAACCTAATAAATAAACAGTACTTATGTTGAGAAGAATGTGATAGAAGTGGATCAGGCTGCCAATTCACATGTTCTGCATTGTTCATGGACCACCTGGTACAGACAGACAACCATAACCGTGTCCCCATTTGGTTATTAGTTTTATTTCAAACATTTGTGTTTCTTTCATGCGTCAACATCGTATAAAAACAACCAATAAACTTAAACAAAAATACTTTCTTTTATTTAATTACATTATATTTTTAGAAGATATGTATTAAAATACGAAAAAGACTTTATTGAAATAAACAAATAAATTTTAGCTGTGTCTAGTCGGAATAAAAAAACATGAATCGACTCAGTCCCCACATCGGATTGTCTCGTGTATCGGAATTAGCTTGCACAGCATTTCCACACACCCTTTTAAAAACCCACAAGCTCCACGTTTTATTTACGTCCATTTCTCTTTCCATGCTCGCACGGTCCCACCCTGTTGGTTTTTTTTTTTTTTTCCTTTAACTTCCACCATATCTCATCCCTGTATTCTTCTTCTTCTTCTTTCTTTGCCTCAAAATTCAAATCCTTTTCTTCCTCTTCCAATTCCCCCACTTCCAAATTAAGAAAAAAAGCAATTCCTTTCATTTAGTCTCGTTTCATTTCCTATTTTACTAATTGTCGATAAACACCGAGTAACCAAGCCTATCTAGTATAATAGTACTGTTTACCAATGTCCAAAACCCAACCAGATTGGCCAGAACCAATTGTTCGGGTTCAATCTTTATCTGAAAGCTGCACGGATTCAATCCCTGAAAGGTACATCAAGCCCTCTGCTGATAGACCATCATCCATAAGCTCTAATTTTGATGAAGCCAACAACATCCCCATCATCGACCTTGGAGGTCTATGTGGTGCTGACCATCATGTCTCATCCTCAATTCTTAAGCAAATCTCAGACGCTTGCAAGGAGTGGGGCTTCTTCCAAATCACAAACCATGGTGTTAATCCCGATTTGATGGACAGGGTTAGGGAAACTTGGCGTCAATTCTTTCACTTGCCCATGGAGTTGAAGCAGCAATATGCAAACTCACCAAAAACTTACGAAGGGTATGGAAGCAGACTCGGAATTGAGAAAGGTGCTATTCTTGATTGGAGCGATTACTACTATCTTCACTATCTTCCCTTGTCTCTCAAGGACAGTAACAAATGGCCTTCCTTGCCTCCCAATTGCAGGTAATTCTTCTCAATATAATATAATTAATACAAACTTGAATTATTAGAATGCTAATGAGATAAAATTCCAAGTTTTGATCCAAGTTCTCCAATTAAAACAAGAGTTTCATCTATATATATATGAGTTACAAGATTAGTGATTACTAAGAAGTATTATCCCTAATTCTGATTATTATAAAACATTTAAAAGAACTACATGTAATTACGTAATGTATTGTTTAATGTAGGGAAGTGTTTGATGAGTACGGGAGAGAGTTGGTGAAGTTATGTGGGAGGTTGATGAAGGCTTTGTCAATAAACCTTGGATTAGATGAAAAGATTCTTCAAAATGCTTTTGGGGGGGAAGACGTAGGGGCATGTCTAAGAGTGAATTTTTACCCGAAGTGTCCACGACCAGAGTTAACACTGGGTCTGTCATCACACTCAGACCCTGGAGGAATGACTATGTTGCTTCCAGATGATCAAGTTCCTGGTCTTCAAGTTCGAAAATGCAACAATTGGATAACTGTGAAACCTGCACCCCATGCTTTCATCGTTAACATTGGTGATCAAATTCAGGTGAATAATCTCCAATCTCACTATATTATCCCTATTCAGAAATGCTTGGCCACCATTAACTCGTCATCATATGCATAACACATGCTCACGTGGAGAGGACACATGTGAAGTTCAATTGTTAGTTTAGGTTTTTTGTCAAACAATTCATTAGTCGAAACGTGTCCTTTACTTTTTGTTTTTTTTTTTTTAAACAATTGAAATATTTCCCGCACCACTTGGGTCAAAAGGCTGAAATTTATTTAAATAAAGAGTTTTAGTGATGCACTCAAATACAAAATATCTGAACAAATTCGTGACTTTTACTAAATTTCATTTCAATGCATATAAAAATGTGTTTATACGAGTATCTTAAAAACATGTCCTTAACATCCCATATTCTAAATTGGTAAAAAATTTCAATTTTTTAAAAAAGTTACTGACAAATTAAATTTTTTGTTTTTATTTCAATTTTCCCACTCGTGATAAAATTTTACAGATTCATCAGTTTAAAATATTTTAGATATTACCTGTGAAATAATTATTATAAGCATGATGTGAATTTATAATTAGATTATGGTATCATTACATTCTAATTAAATCCTTAATTTATTATCTACATATTTAATTATTTTAGATGAATCAAAACTCTCAGACTAATTTATCCTGGAATAAAAAGGTTTAATAATTGATTAATTTTCTTTCATGTTTACGACATCTATAGTATAAATTCTTAAAATTACGCCCACCTACATAAAGTGGATAAAAGTTTGACCTCAAAGTTTTAAGGATAGGGTCTAGGTTTGATGTAAAAAGGATTCCTTTAGTGGGGAAGAATATATCAAAATTGCCCATCAAGCTAAATGAAAAAGAAACATGACAAATAAAAAGATATAAAATGTAAGGGTTTGAAAAAATAAGTTTATTTTTGACATGATATATATTGTTAAATAAATAATGGTATACTACTAGCTAAGCACACTTTGTCAAAAAGAAATAAAGAAAAAGCTGAGTTGTGCTTTTTATCTCTGTGAACTGTATTGTAACTAATAAAGTGACCAATTATACCCAAACCACATGAAAACAGAGTAACTAATGGCATATTGTGCAGTGTCACTAACAATTATTTATGTATTTGACTGTTTCAGACCCCATTATGAAATGCTTTCTATCTCAAATATTAATACTGTATTGGTTATCAATTAGTGAGTTTGTGTGTGTGTTTGAGCAGGTACTAAGCAATGCCATTTACAAGAGTGTGGAACACAGAGTGATAGTAAATTCAGACAAAGAGAGGGTTTCTCTGGCATTTTTCTACAACCCCAAAAGTGATATCCCCATAGAGCCAATAAAAGAGCTGGTAACACCAGAAAGACCCTCACTTTATCCGCCAATGACCTTCGATGAGTACAGACTCTTCATTAGAATGAGAGGACCTCGAGGGAAATCTCAAGTCGAATCTTTGAAGTCTCCAAGATGATTTCATCATCATCTCATACTATTTTATTCTCATTTTCAAGTGTAATATAAAATAATAAACACTTGAGATTTACTTCTCAACCACTCAAAAACCTGCTATACCTTTTTTCATGTACAATTGATTGTAAATCTAGTAATCACATTGAGCCATTGAGTGAGGATATGCAATGGAGATTGGAGGTGTGAAATTGTTTGGAGAAGTTGTCTTCTACTACTTTTGCTTTGTAATGAAGGATAAATTTGGATGGACCATGAAGATTCTTCTTCCTAGGCGTGTAAATAAAATTGGGTTTTTGTCCCACTTCCCAATGGATGATTGTGGTGGTAATTAAGCACGCCATAATTTTAAAATACTAGATATAATCATGTCTTTTAAATACTTAGAAGGAAAAAAAGATGATTCTACCAACCTCAAACTAAAATATCTCTTTTAAATAATACATTTAGTTTGTTTGAAAAAAAAAATGCATAATTTAGAAGCAGATTCACGTGTGACTTCTGTTCCTTTATTTTAACGAACTGTCTTAGTGTGTGACATGTAATCTTGTTTGTATTGTCTAGACACACTCTTTACACTTAAACAATAGTTAAAATGACGTGTTATGCAACAAAGACAAATTGATATTAATAATTTGAAATAAACTATGACTCTTCTCAAAGCATTTTAACTACTAATTGTATAAAATCAACTAAAATTGACTTAGTGGCACGAGAGGTTTAATAATATACAATATTTTATTAAACTTAAACATTGTCCTACACAAATTATAAGTATTATAAACACTGGTGACATTTATATAGGACAAATATGTTTCAAAAAGATTTTTTAAGTATTTTAAAAACAAATTAATAATTTTATCATAAATTAAATTAAATTGCAAAAGAAAAAAGTTATATGAATTTTTCGTATTAATAAACTAATTTTATTTTTCAATGAAAAATCTTTAGAACCTCATTCTAACTTAAAATTCATTAAAATGCTTAATCTTTCTATCATGTTTTATTTTCTTTCCTTTTCATATGAATAGAAATTTGTTGTTGGGACGGAGCAAGGTCTAGAAATCTGGGGAATAAATATAAAAATTATGATTTTAAAACACTCAGAACATTCGTATTTATCATAATATTCATATAAAAAAATCTGATATCATGAATATTATTATTAGTTTCACATTTAGCAATAAATATATATATATATAAACTTTTAGATCCTTCAAAATTAGAAAAAGAATAATGTTATGTCATGACAATAGACATTTACCTAAAATCAAATGTGGACACACAGCTAATACACATAATTCAATTTACTTAGTGATGATAAGTTTTGGGTTTATGCATTTTGAGGCTGGAATTGGAACAAGTTGCAGCCTCTCAATTCACAAACAATGCAAAAATTATATAAGAAATTAATTTCAAGTTGTCAATAGTTTTCACAATTAAGCTTAATTATCTCATTAGTAAATTACTAATGTTCATAAACAATTTTTAGTTCTTACACTATTTATAACCAAATCATTCTAAAGAGAATGTTAAAATCATCTCAATGTACCTATTTGTAACTTCAAAATACAATATCATGTTATAAAGGCAAAATATTATTAAAAAAATAAGGATGTTCAATATTTTGTCTCTACAAATTATATCTTCAGAAAATTCTATAAAATAAAATATAATTTTTATTAAAAAGATAAAAAAAATACCATTACATTCACAATAAAATTAAACAATTGATAAAAATAACTCGTAAATATCATTATATAACTACAAGTAAAAATAATTATTTTTACCAGTAAAAATATAGTTAAAATATTTTTTAAGATTTTATTTTATTTTTTCTCTTCTTTTTAAATATATCCATTTTTCATTAATTATATATTATCGTTTTCTCTAGTATATTTATTATTTTAAATATATACATTATAATATTTTTATTTCTGATAAAAAAAACGATTTAAACGAATTTCTTATTATATATAATTATAGATATTAATATATCTCAAAAATGAAATTCTAAAAAAAGAGATGTCAAATATAGGTTCCTATTTGTGGAAGATTCGATCAGTACCCATTTTCTCAATTTTTTCTTTTCGTTTTTGCCCCTTCTTCATTGATTGCAAAAACTCATATCCATCAAAATCAGTCCCTTTCATATTTTATAACCATTATTATACTTAATATCGGAGAGAGTATTTAATTCTTATAATTAATATATTTAATTTTTAATTTAATTTTAAATAATATTTTTATTTTACATTATGTTAATAGAATTTATACTATATTTTAATTAGTTTTATTTTAATGAGTATTATTACAAATACTAGAATATTTACATTTTTATTTATATTTCACTTAATAACTTAAAAATAATTTAACTATTATAATTAAATATTAATTCAATATAATATTTTAACTTAAAATGATAATAAATTTATAAAGGATTTTAAAATTATTATTATAACATCGTTTTTATCTTATAAATAAAATACAAATACAAATATTTTTATTATTTTCATTTAGTTTTTTAGAATTTAGCATAAAAAATTAAATTAATTTTATTTTTAAAATTGATAATATTTAAATAAAACGTATTTTTTTAAATTCTTTTATTTTTTATTATTTATTTTTAATTTTTTTCAATGAAGATTGTTTATATAATTAAATCAATCAAACCGGTTAGATTCAGTGGGTTAATTAATTTAAAACTGGAAATATTATCTCATCTAGTTCACTTAATGGAGGGGTGAAGAGTGGGACAATACAAATTAATCCAATGACTAACTTTTAAAAAATATTTATATATTAAAATTAAAATAATTAAAAATATTATTATTAAAATATCAAAAAATATATATTATCATATTTATATAATAATTATTAATAAATTAAATTTATATTATTGATTATAAAATATTTTAAATCTATAAATATAGTATTTTTTATTTAATAAAATATTATTTAAATAAATAAAAATTAAAAAATATTTATATAATTAAAAATATTTTTTAATCTGTAACCTGTTTTATTTAATTATAATAAGCTAGATCAAAATGACACAATTAAACTGGTTTTAATATATATATATATATATATATATATATATATTAAACAAAAATGATAAACATATGTTTTATGATATATATTTAATTATATTTTATTTTTAGTTAATTTGTTTATTATGAAAATGTAAATTTAAGATGTCCATATAAAGTAAATTACAATTAAACCGAAATTAAAAATATATGTTATCCCATCAAAGCATGCACAAAAATTATAATATTTGGAAATAAGGCCACTCTTTTCCTTCTTCTAGATGTACGTCATTCTATCTTCATAATAGGAATAGATAAACCAACCATCATTGTCAAACAGTGTTATTTGACTTAACATTATTTTTATGTGTTCTGCAAATAAAACATTATTTTATGTGCGATCCCTTAAAAAACAAATGAACGTGACATATTCATGTCGCCACTGCCTCTGTCTCCCATCAATTAAAATTAAAACAATGGTTTTCTGAGTTGATTTTTCTCAACATAGATAGCGTCCAAAGTTAGAATTCTCATGTGTTCGATCAAAATATCCGTTCATTTTAAAATAATTAGCATTAAATAATAAAACTACTCTATAAATTAAAAAAAAAAGACTTACTCAAATAATGAATAAATAAGGAAATAGAGTACAAAATTCTTCCTATATTGATATGAACAAAGATACGTATAATAAAGGAAGAGAGAGAAAAAATAGAAAAGATGAAAGAAAAAAAAATAGAGGAGAGAGAAGCAGAGAGAAGAATTTTTAGAAGGTTACCAAATATAAAAAAATCACAAGTTTATATAAGCTTATCACAGATATCTAATTAGTTATATTAGATTCAACCTCTTATAATTTTATTATAAATTTGTTTTATTTTTATGTTTATATTTAAGTTAATAATGATCACCTTTATCTCAAAAATTTATCATTTTAGCTAGTTTGATTTTTATCCACGGAAGAGATAAAAAATTAAAATGGTCATGAAAAAAATTCTATATTATGAAAACATGTATTTTTCTCTATATTCATTAAACAATATCCAATTATGATGCCGTAATTTACAAATAAATATATACTCTTCAACGATATAACCAAAACAAACCTAACAAGAGATATATATCTAGAAATAAACCTCGTTTTTCTTCCTCTCCCGTCCTATATATATATATATATATATATATATATATATATATATATATATATATATATATATATATATTAAAATTTTAATAGATATCATTAAGTCTTTTCAAGGCAAAGATTACAGATTAGTTACAATAGTTGTTAAACAAATCACACAATCTTCTCAAATAGGATATAAAAAACTTACTTCGAAATAAACAACACATACAGATCCTTATTAGACAAAATAACACAATAATCGCACTTATAGAAGAAGTTTATAAAAAATTAATATATTTAATTGATTTAAACAAAAAGACAAACATGTCTAATGAAATAGATGATCTCATTAATAAAGTTTTCAAATTATCTTTAAGAAATTACACATTAACAAAAATAATTTCTAAAAATACCCAAAATTTTGTTAAAATTACAACAACAAAAAAGAATTAAATAGTCTCAAAAACCAAACCAACAACGAAGAAGTTTCTTTTTCTACAAATAATATCAGGAGTTAAATATGATTACACGACTTAATAATTCTACACAAACACAAACAGAAGATATTGATATGAATAATACAACAGATTCTAATCAAACACAAATATTTCCCAGAAGATTAAAAGGAACACCAGACTAGGAGTCAAAACCTTATACAACATTCAAGAATAATAGATAGATTTTTAAACATACAAAGAACTACTAACATCGTGCAATTAGAAAACTTAGTAGACGTACACAATAAATCCTAAATAGTTATATAATATAGACGTCGAATCAAGCGACGTTGAAAGTTCAGAATATTTTAGAGTTGAAGGTCGATACTCCAACCACTAAACTACTAGGATTTTCTGATAATAACTTATAAATAAATTATATTTATATACAAATAAATGTATATATGTGTAAATATATAAATATAGAATATATAAATACAAATATATTTATATATTTTGATATATTTATATAATTATATATTTATATGTTTGATGTGAGGGCGCTCGAGGGTAAAAGTGTGTGTCGAATGAATCTTCAAAATTTGATACCAAATTTAATCTAATTAATAAAACAATTTTTTCCTTACATAGATTATTATAAATTAATCAAAATCATCTTTTAATAATTAACTTTTCCAGACATAGATTAATTTATAATAATTATTAAATAAAATAATTTTAAAAATAAATATTTAATTATTTTTAAAATTTGAAAAATTTATTTTAATATAAGAATTTCAATTAAATAATAGAAGAAAAAATAAAAAAAATAAAAAAATAAAAAAATAAAGAAAAAAATTATTTTATATCATTATATAAATAAATTATAAAGATTATATTCTATTATTAAATTACAAACCCATATAAAGAGACTCGCTCATAAATTTGACATCAAATTTTGAAAACTCACTCGACACACACTTTCACCCTCGAACGCATTCTCACATCAAACATATAAATATATAACTATATAAATATATAATTATATCAAAATATATAAATATAAAAATATATTTATATTTATATATTTTGTATTTATATATTTACACGAATATACATTTTTTTGTATATAAATATAATTTATTTATAAATTATTATCGAAAAATCTTAAGTAACTTAGTGATTGGAGTATCGATCTATACCATTAATGTAATGAGTTTGAATCTTGTTAGTAACCATTTTTTGATATTATTTCAACTTTTAACGCTCGGTTGATTTAAAATCGAGGTTGAAGTGAAAAACATATTTTGTAGTAGTGATTAGATGTTAGATCTTTAGTTAGGCATGTTATTAGAGTTAAATAATAATATTTATAAAAAAATATAGATGATTATAATGCTTAAAAAAACTTTTTTTTATAGTCTAATAGATATAAAAAAATATAATTACAAAGTGTCAAAATATATAAAGTATTTCGGATTAGTTACAAATGAAACATTTTAATATATACTTATATTTTTTATTATTTCTAAATTTTTTAACGTGTCTCCCAAAATTTAAAATTAATTTTGTAAAATTTAAAAGATGTCATACTATAAGTCTTTATACTAATAATCTTTGTATCTCAGAAATGTAATTTTTATTATATCAAGAATGTAAATTATTTAAATCATTTTGAAAAAAATATTATTTATCACGTGCTTAATTGAAACTGGGTATAAACTAATATAAAATGTTGTTTTTTTTATAAATGTAGTTCATGATTGGACAGTTTTCTTGATGTGAAATTTGAATTTGTCAAATTTTGATTGGCTGTCACCAACACCATACAAAATAATAGTCGCCATCAACAATTAAAAAATAAAACAAATTTGTCTGGTGAAACTGGGCTTTGTCCCTGCAACTAAATTAATGCAAAATAATTGCTTATCAATGGGAATTAAATTATTGCCACCATTTTTGAAAAGAAGAAACCTTGACAATACAATGGGTTAAAAGTTGTTACATACTCATGAAAAAAAATTTAAAATAATGAAAGTGGTTTGATGTATTTAATTATACTATAATCCGTACAAAATTTCAAAAAAAAAAATAATAAAATCTCGTGCTTATTTTACGCAGTTAACTGTTTATTATTAATAAAAAAGGTTATTTCTAATTAAAATAGACTTTAATAATCGGAAGTTAATGATTGGATCATTTTTTAGTATATTGTTAGCATCACATGCTTATTGTATTATTTATTTATTTGTTGATAATAATTGATATACAGTGATAATGTGATGTTTTTGTACTATTAACAACTTGATGGACTTATAGTGAAAAGTGGATTATTTTAATATGACCCAGAATTTGTCATGACTTTCTATGTTATGGGTTCAGATTAAAATTGAATAATCTATTTTTAAATTTATATGTATATAAAATTTTAAAAATAATAGAAAATACTCCTTCTAGTTTTTATTATAAGGTGAAGTTGTACAATAAATGGCTCTTAAAATAAAAATATTTTAATTTTCAATATATATATATAAAAATTTTTCTTTGTATATTCCTAGCATCTGTTACATTTATGTAATTGGTTTGGACTTCCAAATGATGTATCTAGATTATGAGCAGAAAATGTAGTGAAGAACATTTTATTGGGCCAACGAACTGGGCCGAACCTTGTTACTTAAGAGAAAATATTAGATTTGGGAGAATTTTACTTTTGAGTCTTCACTATGGTCAGGACCAACCAGAAAAAATAATTAGGAGATCAAATGAAAAATAAAATAAAATAATATTTTTCATGATTATATATATTAAAATACTAACTACATTATTAATCTATTAAAACAGTAAAATATAGATGTGAGAGAGATAAACTAAACATTATTTTTTAAACAAGATTACAACTATTAATCACTGGTTTCATTTGTCTCTAATAATAATATTTGATGATCGTAATTTGCTAGAAAAAACTGTATCAATTATGTTCCAAAAATCCACCGTATCAAATTGAATTATGTTGAGGCAGTAACCATGGTTCTAAAAGCGATTGTTGACATACCAATGTCTAGTTTGTATCTCTAAAGTTTACAACAATATATTTAAATTCATAAACTTGAGTATAAATAGTATGATGAAAAGATAGTTTTTTTTTCAATTCCATAAACAATGTTAGTAAATATTTTTAATTGATAAAAGTTAACAAATAATATTTATTTTTAAACAAAAATTATAATCAAATTATGATTATAAAAGTTTAAATAGTAATAACAAAATAGAAAAGGAAAGAAAATATTAAAGAAAAAAAAAGACTACGCTTACATATTTTATCTAGAAAATGAAAGAATACAAAATATCTTCGTAATCAGAACTATATACAAGAAAAAAAAAATGTCTACATAAAATGGTTTTCAATCTCCAACTTCTAAATGTCGCCCATTCATGTCCCCAAGCTTTGGTGCTGGATGAAAGAATGTGGATTTTATTTTCTCCTTCCCATGTTTTAAAAATATAAACTCCTTTAAAAACGTCGAGGAGTAGTAACAATAAAAAATCAATGATTGAATCTATGATATAAATACATAGACATCAGTTAAAAATTGAACAGTTAGTTTTATTTTTAATAATTAATTAATCAATCACTTGAGTTAAAATTTAGCATATTCATTAATCAATTAAAGCATGTAACAGCTTCGAAGAAAAACAAAAGAAGTCATTTGATTTAAATCTGCGAAGGATAACACACAAAGCACTAGCTGCAGATTACATATTATACACAATTAAAACCTAGACAAACAAACCCAACAAAATAATAGGATTGAAGGCTAAATTAGTTTCACTATAATGCTAGGGCTAAATTATACATCCATACAGAAACAGGCAACATCTGCTGGTTGAAATTCAATCTAAAATTATCCTGGGGGGAAGGTGTACACCAGGAGCTTGCTCTGGACACGTAGCAAGTTTTACAATAGAACTAGCAGTGAGGTTGTACCTTCTCTGTATTTCTGTAAATCCTCCACATAGAACCTCCTCCACCCAGTTCTCCACCTCCGTATCCCTGTCTGAGACATACTGAGCGGTAAGCAATTGGTCCATGACTTCTGTCTGGATCTGTAATGTACACTCGGATCCAAGAATCTTGTTGAAGTTACCTCTGATCACTTTCAACACTCTATCCGCAAGTGCATCAAAATCATAAGGTTTAAAAACAACTGTTTCATCAACCAGATCACACAAATTCTGCAACCAATGGCTTTGGTTCTCGGTTGAAACATGTTCAGGGTTTCCTTCATTTGTTAGTTTCTGTTCATTCTCTTCGGCTGGGAGATTCAGATCTAACTGCCAACTTGATGCTGTATGCGCCCTTTTAGCTGTATCAGAGTGTATATTTGGATAATGAAATTCATTGTCACCAATCAACTTTCGTTTGTTTAAGAAAGTTAGATTAGCAATGGCATCCATCGAATTGTTAGTTACACTGATGCTTTGGCTTCTGTTGTCTCCAATCACATTTTCAACTTGTAGCTTGATACCTCCCCCCTTTGCCTTCAGTATTCTTTCCTCCGAATAGTTGGAAGGTTCCCCAGTTGGTATCCAACTATTTTGGTAATCTGGGAAAGAAAAAACAAACACTGTATTGTTTACACTAACTTCTCGTCCATGCGAGTCTGTAATTTTTCCTGTCTTGATGGCTTGAGACAAACTATTTTGAGCCAGAATATCTGCCTTGTCTACATTTTCAAGGAAAACCACAGACAAGGGTTTCTTGCAACACTCCCCTACAATAAAATCGAGTGTAGTCTTCCCTCTGAATTTTAAATTGCATCCTTTCATTTCATCAGAACTTAGATCCACAAAAATAAAGTTTTCCCGGCTCCCATACAATAACTCGGCTAGAGAAACGGCAATTTTCTTTTTACCAAGTCTATCAGGTCCAACAAAATTCATCCATATATCCCCAGGCTGATTTGCACCACGGTGTTTAACCTTTTTTGTTGGGCTGCAAACTATTGTTTTGATGATAACCTGTAAAGCTTCGTCTTGCCAGCTTACCTCCTTGGAAAGAGCTTCAAAAAGAAATTTGGGATCTTTCGCATCAACTTGCCCACAATAGTCAAAACTTAAGCAGGATGAAGACTGCGATGGATGCTTCAAGATACTCCCATCAGCCAAATTGAAGTTTGAAGAAAACCGACTTGGGATTTCCTTTGGAGGCTCCATTTTATATTGAACAGTAGGTTTCTTCAGCTTATTGCTGGTAGGAGAAGAGCATATTCCTAACCCAAGATCTGTGGTTACAGAAGTTACAGAAGTGGGGGACATTTGGCTTCCATCACACACACTTGAATTGGACATGTTGCACGATCTTAGGTCACCTGACTCGTGATCTTCCACTTTCTGGAACATCTCAGCAAGTTTTGAAGTATATTTCTCCTGCTTTGCCTTGAGAACTGCAGGAAAAGGACTACTTGAGTGTGACATACGCATCATTTGCATACCAACAGGTACATGGGAATTGAGATTGATGTATTCTCTTGGTGGTGATTTATCTGTAATTTTGCTGCTGGATTTCTCAGCATCTTCCTTTTTCTTGTCAGCACCACACTGAAACCCCACAACAGTTGGAAAAGTATTTGCATGTCCCTGGTGCATATGCTGGGATAACTTGTCTAAGTTCTTGTGCAGTAACCCAGATTCACTACTATCGAGCATAACTCCATTATCTTTGGTCTGCACTGAATTAAAGAAAAGTGTTTTTTACACATACAAAACAAAAAGGACTTCTTCATTGATAAATATAAATCAAATGCAGATGATTTACAATAGAATAAACAGAACTAAAGATACATTAAAAATATAATCTGCAAGGATGTCTCGTAGGAAATGAAGGTTGGTTTTATGATGTGCTCACTTTACCAATATAAAACGAGCAAATAGAAAAAAAAAATATAGTGCAATATGGTTATAGTGGCAAAATTTGATTTTACAGGCACAAGCACAATCAGTCAGTTAACATACAGATACTTCTTGTTTAGTCTCATTTCCGGTTCCTGTGCCAAAAAGAATACCAATTCCCTAAAAAGGTAAGGATCAACCCATTTTAAACAATTCATCAGTAAATTATTCTAAAAATATATATATTCATCACAACTTTAGAGCAAAAAAATCGACCCATATTAAACATTTCATCAGCAAAATATTTATGAAAAATTTAGTAGTCAACACAGCAAAGCAAAAATTTTTATTTTTTTTGTGTAACTAGTCATATGGCATCTTTGGAAACAAAAGCGACGGTATGGCATATTTGAAACAAAACAACGTTTTGATTCTTATTGATCAGCTGTTAATACCACACACCTGGACAAATTAAAAAATGTTGGTAAAAGGAGTTTTGAGGCTTTTGAAACATTAAATTATGCAGATGTTGCTAGACTGACAAGCTATTTTAGATAAATAAAAGCTCGTTATTTCGAGAATTGCACAAGCCAAGCCTTCACAATAATTGTGTACAACCATATTTTTAGCGGGAAAAAGGTAATTTGAAAATTCACGACAAAAAAAATAGGTCCATTTCCCTAATCTAACTAGCTGATAAGTTTTTTCCCCTGGCTATAGCTTGACCTTTAAATCTAGTTGGTTCTAATTTACTCCTTTTGGGCTCAGTAAATAAATAACCACACTCAATTTTTCTTTTTTAAAAATGCCCTATCTGTGCAGATTACCCAAATAAATTCATAATGAATCGGTTGGATGGATGTATCTGAATCCTACACACCTTAACATTCAACCCCTTTGATGTGCCAAATTCTGCAATCTGTAACCACGGAGGCAAGCTAGATTGATGCGAATCAGCAGCTGAAGAAGCGGAAAACCTTTCTTTGGATGCACCAAGGACATCATGTTCACAACTTTCACCACACTGATGACAGTGGGGAATACAATAAAACGAGCCATTCAGTGGACCTTTTAAATCAGACTGTGACGAAAAAAAGCCACCAAATGGCACAAATGAATCCATTAAGCTGTAAAACAAAAAATTACAGTTTAGACAAAACATGCACAAAATTAATCAATACGTGAAAAATCCTGAGTCCACTTCGTCATTCAAAATAACAAGAAAATTATCACCATAACACTTCTTAGTTTGTTCTCGTATCCGAACTATATTGCTGAGCATTTTAAAAATACTTTTCTTTTACGTATATATATATATATATGGTTGACCCAGACTAGTATGAATTGAATACTTGCAACCCGAACCCATCACAACTCAAACCAACCACACGTTACTATGTATTGAAAAACTCTTGAGTCGGATCAACGAAGCTTATCCTATGAAAAAAATAAAAATAAAAATCAGCATACTACACACACGGAGACATTGCCATACCCCTCGAACTTCAAACTTTGGTAGATATTAAAAATTAAAAAATAATGAACACATGCACTATACGACACCAAAGTTCAAGAAAAGGAATTATTATTATAAAATATAAAAAGCACGTTGTACCTGGACCTGGGACGTTGATAGGATTCAGAAGGCTTGACAGAGGTAATAGGCAGAAGCTGCAAATCCCACTCTTTCTCTATGCAGGGAAACTTCCCCACGAATTTCAAGTAACTCTCGTAACTGGCAGCTGCACCCATTAACCAAAACTTGTCATAATGAACCTGCGACAGCTTCGCCAAGTCCCCAACCACACCCCTCAAACCCTCACCACCACCACCTTCTGCATCGTTCACAAAACTCTTCAAGTCCCCGAAACTCACCACAACACCTGGCCCCACACACTGCTCCGCCAAATTCCCAATCTCTCTCACGCGCTTCCCCGCACCCTCCGCGTCCCCACGCGCCACCTCATCCGCAATGCAAACCACCTTCAACCCGGACAGCTCCACCGGAAGAACCCCCTCCCTCCGCTGCTCTACAGCCTCCGCGAAGCTCCGAAGAGCTTCGCCGGCGCACGCGCCGAGAAGCAGCGGGTTCCGCCCCCGGCTACGGACCAGAATCTCCCCGATTCTTCGGAAGTTCTCGCTGCCGCCTCCATCCCCGCCGAAGAAGAAAGGGAACCGCCGCGGCGGCTCGGATAAATTGCAGAGGAAAATCGGTGGGCCGCGAGGCCGGAGGGGACGGAGGATGGCGAGTTTGATGTCGGAGCTCCGGAAACCTGCTTCAGCGAAGACCCGGCTTACGACGGGGTCGTCCAGGATTGACAGAATCAAATGCTGAAGCTCTACTTTGACAGAAGAAACAGAAAAGGGTTGTTGGTGGTTTTGGTTCGGATTTAGGTTATGCTGTGTTTGTTGGTGCGAGAGAGTTTGGTGGTGGTGGTAGAAGTGGAAGTTATCGGGGTGGCGGCGTTGGTTGGCCTGGGAGCGTTTGATGGCGGCCATGAGGGAGTTGGACACGGGGGGATCATGGTCGGAGGAGTGCTGGTTGTGCGACGACGGGGCGCGGTCGAGGGAGACGGAGAGGCAGAGGTCGAGGGCCTTGAACTGGAGACGTGGGGAGTAGGCGCAGTTGCGCGCGCGTGAGCAGGCGTCGCGGAGTAGGGAGGAGGAGGGGAGGGAGAGGAGGGCGGAGACGGCATGGAGAGAGGTGGTCTGGGCATGGCCTCGTCGGCGGGCGACGGAGACGGCCTCGTCGAGGGCGCGGGCGGCGTCGGCTGTTAGGCATTGACGCGCCGCTGCGACGGGCGTGGGCATCGGAGGGAGTGAGAGTGAGCGGAATTGGGCGAAGATGGAGTTTCCTTATTGGGGAAAAACATCAACGAGAGGTTTTCTCTCCTTTTATTTCGGGATTGGAAATTTGGAAAAGGGGTTTTGTGTTGTGTCGTGTTGCCGTGTGAGTGAGTGTGTGTAGAGTTCCTAGTTGAGTGTGTAGAGTGGGGACTCGTAATTTCCCCTTCTCCTTCTACACCCTCTATAAATATTAGTATAACGCTGATTAGGAATAAGGAACCAAGGACAAACACTGTTCATGCTTACTACTCTATTCACTTTTTTTTACTATTAATTTCAACTATTTTACCATTTTAATCATCTCTTTTTGGGTCTCTCTCCTATTAATTACAGTTTTAAATCTACAAAACTTAATTTAGGTGAATTTAAGTTCTCCACTTATTTTATTTTAGCTTCTAAATTCACTTAAATAAAGCTATATTTCCCTCAACTTATGTTTGTTTTGATAAATTTAGTAAGGATTTAAGAAATATATTCAATATTTTCTTCTCTATATTACAGATGAATTTAAAAAACAAAAAGCAGAAACTGTGAGTTGCAAAACTTCACGAGACCAATTATATTACGTTTCAGATTTTCTCTTGTATATATGATTTTAGATGAATTGAGTATATCAAGTATTATGAAATTTAATTTTTTTAGTAATATATATTTTTTTAAATATCAAATCCATTATATAAAATAAATTTGTAATCAATATATATATATATATATATATATATATATTAAAATAGAGTTTAGATTAATTTTATTTTATTTCATAAATAACTTTAAAATTCTTTATTTAATTTTATTTCATAAATAACTTTAAAATTCTTTATTTCTATTTCATTTAATATATATATAATATTTAAATAAACGTAGTCACCTAATAAAAAATAGTATTTTAATTTAATAAAAACTTACACATTTCTTACATATCAACAGTGTTTTTTTATAATAAATTTATATGTATTTATGAATTTTTTTAATCATGGTTTATCGTTTTGTTTATTTTAATATTTATTTTCTTTATTCTAATTATAACTGTATGTATTTTTATTTTCTTTAATATAAATTAATCAATTTTGATAACTAAATTGAGGAACTTAATTCAACTCCTTATAACACGAGCTAACGATAGTTACGCATCATTTGTGTCCGCATTCCCAAAGTACCTCTCTCTCAAAGGATTCGTGTAATGTCAAGTCCGATAAGATTTTTCGCTTGTGCATCAAATTAATAATAATTTTCTTTATTCTTGAAAATCTTTTGAATACTTTTTTTTTTATATTTTCACTTATATATTATCTTTTATTTTTTCTCATATTAAATATATTATTTAAAATTATAAATAAAGCATGATTTTATAAAAATATAATAAAAAGTACACATATAATGTTTTTATTAATAAACATTAAAAATATTCTAACATTAAAAAAACTTATTATTAATTTGAATAAATAACTAATATTTTAATTAAATATCTTAATAAGCAAATTCTATTTATGACGTTCTAAATATTAAAAGATTTTTTCATTTTTTTTAATGCTTCTACTTGCTAAATTTTCTTCGTTTTCTTTGGCTTCTCTCATATTTCAATTTTTTTCTTTACTAATTTGTATGTAATTATTAAAGTAAATATTATTCTCTATAATGATTTTATATACAATTTGAAATAGGTAACGGGACGGGGCGGATTTTTGTCTTCCCAATTCTCGTTCTCGAATTTTTTAACCCTTCTCATTCCCGATCTCCGTCGAATTAGAAATTAAGTCTTCATCCCCTTTTCGTTGGGTTTCGAATTTTCTACCCACACTCCCGTCTCCAATCAATATTATTTAAAAAAAGAATTATATTTATAATAATTTAATTTTACTATTTTTATGTATTTTTTATACATAAATAAATATTTATAATTTTATAATTTGTAATTATTATTAATTAAATATATATTTTAATTTATTATATTTATATTAAAATATGTATGTAAAAAAATATTTAATTATTTTTTCTTTATATAAATATATAAAAAATATAATATTATTATTATAATAATGTATTCAAATATTTAAATACTTATAATAATAATAATATTACTGTATTCAAATATTTTATTATATATATAAGTTGATTTATTTTTAAGTTGTCATTTTAAAATATGAAATATATAGTTTATAAGAAAATATTTAATAAGTTAATTATTATTTAATTAGTTTGAAGTAATGAAAGTTTAAATTATTAATTTTTAAAATATAATTATTTTATTAAGATAAAATTTGATATATGACACATAAGAATAATAAGATTTAAAAAATATGACATAATAAAACCTATTAAATATAAGTTATAAATAAAATAATATTAGTTACTAATAAGATTTATGTAAAATATTTAGAAAAAGATAAAAAAGAAAAAAAATTTGTGTTCATCAAATTAGTTGAAAAGATTGAAAAAAAAAACAAATTGATGAGAGAGATTAAGAAAATATAAAAAATTGAAAGATAAGAAAAAAAAGAATAATGCAATAAATTAATTGATATAAAATATTTGAAAAAGCAAAAGAATTAAAAAAAGAAATATAAAAAGATTACTTTATACGTAATAGAAACAGAAAAGGAAATATTTTTAAAATAATATTTAAAAATTTAAATTTAAATATAAAGTCGGGGTATGGACGAGACCGGGGTGAGGATTATATTAGTCATCCCCGCCTCGATTTTTTAAACAGGGAAAACCCGAACCCGCCTTACTCCCGCCCCAATCAAGTTGTTTTTCCAGTCAAATTCGAGACGAGAACGGGTCGGTATCCACATATACTGGTTTAATTCTCATCTTAATTCGAAATATAAATAGATGCAACAAGAGAGTTTTATACTTGTTTAGTTGATATTATTTAATAAAAATAATAATAATATTTGTAAAATATATATATATATATATATATATATATATATATATTACATGTAGAATAATCATATTAAAAATTTATATATAAATAATAAATTTTAAAAATATATTCAAAATCAATTTATTTATCTAACTAAACTTACATAGAAAATTATTTTCTTTCTCCTCTTTTTATTATTTAATATTTTTTTCTCCTCTCTCCTTCCATCAGTTTTTATTATATAAATAATAACGCTAATGAAAAGTTACATTTATTTATTAAAATATAATAATATTAAAAAAATAATTATTTTATGTAAAATATGTAATGAAAATTTAATGTTTATTTTTGTTAAAAAATTGTATTTTAAAATTTTTGAAATTCAATATATATTTTTTATCACTTATCTATGGATGGAAAGATAATTTTACGGAAACTAATAAAATTATTTAAATTTAACTTATATAATTATTTAAGTTTTTATAGTTTTTAAATTAGTTTTTTTTTCTTTTGGTAATATTTTAATTTTTTATAATATTATATGTGATTTATTATTTATGAGAGAATATAATAAGTATTAAGAAATAAATAGTTTTTAATCATAATAAATAAATCTTCTTTAATTAGATAAGTAATTATTTTATTATGATAGAATATTTTAAAATTAATTACAGTTTATTATTATAAATAGGTTTATTTGAAATTATTTTATTATTATATCAAGGTTTTTGTTGTTGTTAAAAAGTTTAATTTTTTAGTTTTATTGTTGATTTGAAATAAACAGTTTAAGACCAATTTTTAATACAGTACTTTTAGGTTGTCTTGTTTTATGTAAGAAAGATAATAATAAGAGAGATTAAGAGAGGAGAAAGAGAAAAAAAGTATAACAAACAGTTGAAAAGGAATATCAAAAACTAAAAAGAGTGAGAAAGAAGAAATAAAAATAATAACTGTTTTTATTTGTTAGTTTTCATAATAATATAAATATTAAACAATTTTTAAAATATATTATATAGGTAATTTATTTACAAACTTCTCATACAATCTAATAAATAATAAAAACAAATTAGATCGTGTTAGAATATTTTGTATTAGACTAAACTCAATTTTATATATCCTTATTTAGATTAGATTCGAAAAATAATTTTATTTTTAGAATTTTGTTTAAATAAATTATATTATTTAATATCTAAGAAGTTGGATAATTTAATGTTTTAAAATATAGATTTAATGAATAAAATAATCAAATAATAATTATACTATTAATAGTATTTAATAATTATAGTCAAATTAAATTAAACATCAAGTTGTAATTGTGTTGATTTTGGTTGAGTTGAGCATCGTATCAAAGTGTCTGCGTTTTTATGGTCGCTTTTATTTTCTCACACAAAAAAGAGAGAGATGCTGCGTCCACTTACTTTCCTCCTAATTGTCTCGTAACCTCCTCTTACAAAACATTTTTTTTTTATTCCTTCAACACTATTTTCATTCCATTTTACTTCAAACGAAAACTGTATTTATTTTCTGTATTAGTGTCTTCTTCCATTTCAAGAAACAACTCAAAGTTACCTTTATGAAAAACATTCCACAAATAAAAATACCTTTTTGATCATTTATTTTAAATAATATCTCACACCACAAACATTCTCCCATTTATTTAGACACTTGTATATGTATTTCTGAATTCCATACATAAGATGGGACAGGACGACACAAAAATTGACACAACCATTGAATTGGTTTTTGTTATTCTTGTTTGTTAATAATTTATTAAATGTAATGGTATTATACAAATATCTTCATAGTTTAAAACTATAGAATTAGTCAAAATATAAATGTATAAATAACTCCTGTTATTTATAGAAAAAATATACAGTAAAAAGTTATTAATTAAAAAAAAAGTAAAATAAAATTATTTTCTTATTCTATAATAAAAAATTAAAGAAAATATACATTTTTTATTTTAATATACACATTTAGTTTTACTCATATATAAATAAAAAATAAAAAGTATAAGAAAATAATATTTTATAAAATTATTTTTACTTAAATGAATTATTATTTTTTCATATTTATAACTTCAATTATATATAAT